GATCACCGAGAGAGTGGACACCCATCTAGACTCACCACCCAAGCTATGGTAGAAGCCACCGCCACAGTCACAGACTACCAGGGTTGTCCCCAGGGGTCAGTTCACTTAAATCTGATCAGATGCCTCAGACCCCCAGAGCACCCCCACCCTGCCCTCACGCCCCTGGGGACGAGGAACCCAATTCCTCCCAAAGGACCCAAGCCTAGTCTCAACAGCTTTGTGTGTAAGGAAGTCCTTCCTCAAATAAGCCGAGTTCTGTGGCCACAGAAACACCAGTGCAGGGAAAACCAACAGACATCTGGGAACAAGCGCCAAAATCCCTGAGAGCCCTTTCTTCTCACTCAACACTTAGGGCTCCAGAAAAGTCCCAAGAGCACTTGCCCTCAGCCCATGCTGAAATTTAATCTTCACAGTTTCAGAATGGATACCAGCTCAGAGCTCTCTAGATGCCCGGGGTTGACAGTTCCAGGAAGGGCCTGCCTGACTGGGTTTTGGCAAAGTCAAAGGCCTTGGGGCACAGCTGGATGTGGAAGCCTGGAGACCTTGTGTGTCCTGGGGGGGCCCACTCACCCGGGATCCGGTGATGAAGTTTGGGAGCTCCCCCGTGCCCCCGTGCAGAATGGTTTTCTTGACTCCTTCCACGTTCAGGAGCAGAGCGGCATCCATGGCTCTAGGTGGAGGGTGGTGTCCGGCCCAGGCTGAGATAATCCCACCTCCGTGGAAGACACTTAGGCGGCTGAGACACGTGGGGATTTGCCTTGCGCGGAGGCATGTGGATGAACGGAGGGGGTGGGGGCAGCGCCCCTAGCTGCTCATTGGGGCCACCCCAGTCACTCTGGGCATCTGCCCCTCCTACTCCTTACAGTCCCTGCCTGACACCCACAATTATTGTGCCAGGCTTTGATTTTGTTCCACCCTAAGAAGGGAGGCAGTCAGCTGAACTTTTTAAAAGAAGACAGGGGACAGAGTAGCAAGCAGAAAAGAGGCCTGGAGGCCACCAAAGTGAGAAAGGAGGGGAGGTTTGAAGCCCCCTTTACCTTGCCTGGTCCTGATTCAGACTCTCAGTCCCTTCAGACCCCAGGCCAGGGCTCCGGCTGCCTTAGCAGTCCAGCCACCATCCCTCTTTCCCTGTTTCCTCTTCCTTCGCTTCCCAAGATCTGCCCTCAGGAGGCTGTGAGATGGTGGCCCAAGGGAAAGGGGGCAGATTTCTGGTTTGGAAGGGAGCTAAGAGGACAAAATGCAGGACAGGTCTGAGGAAAGTTGAGGGGCTCTCACCACCCCACTCCTGCGTCCCCTTCAAGGTCCGGCTAGGGGCAGTGGAGCTGCCTTCTTCCCTTTGGGAGGCCTTAGCTCCGTGCCCTGGGAACTAGGGCCTATTAGGAGCATCAGGGACCCCCTTCTGGCCTGAGACAAACGTGAAGGTGTGGTGTTTGGTGCCACCGTGTGGTCAGTTCAAGTACCTCTGCCTTCGCTCCCCAGCT